TTTTTAGATATATATAAAACTTAATTCCTACTAGTATGGTTTTGTTTTTTTGCTTTCTTAAATTCAGTTTCTGCTATCAAAATTTAGAAAATATGTTATTCCTGTTCAGTCTAAGAGTGTGATTATGATCGGGAAGAATCTTATTTTAGTGATTTACAAATGGAGCAACAGGGAGGAGAGTGCTTTTAATAAATTTAAAATCGGCCTGCAATAGACCAATTCATATAAACCTACGCATTAACTTGAGCAACAACCTTCTCCTCCACCATCTTCCTCTCCTATGTAGCTGTAGTGCTGTTTCTCTGACTTTTAAACTATCTTTAAGCAGGTTTCTCTGTCCTCTTGAAATTTGTCTGTCCAGCGAAGGGATCCACTACGGACAACCAAAGGAAGGTGAGACAGCGTACGTTGATTTCCTGCTGCTTCTTTCTGATTTCAAGAATGCCTTCTGACTTTCTTTCTTTGTCTGTATTGGATCCCTCCTCCAGCAGTAGTTGAGCTTTTTCACATAATTCTGTTCACAACAACTGTGTTCCACACCAACAGGACCAAAACATTTCCCTTATTTATGTAGAGGTCTGACATAAAGTGTTGAAATAGTCTAACAAACCACACGCATGTTTTTCTTTTAGCATCTACCCTTGATTATACTGTACCAGAATTACTTTTTCTCTGGTACGTTACCACCTGTTTCTCAGAGCAGGAGGCTCTGTAACAGCAGGGACACTGTTACACCTGAACTACAGATGGTTAACGTTTCAGAAAACTTCATTTCCAAAAACATTAACAATCTCTTTAACCTGACGATATCTAGTACCTATGAAACCAGGGAAGAGTAAGGTGTTGAAACAGAACATTGAGGTTGGGGAACTCTGTTGCCTCAGTTCAGACAAAACTAAGCAAGGATGCAACCAAATAATAAAAAAATCAAGGGATGCTTTGTTCACGGCTAATTTCAAATAAAAAATAAAGTAAATGGGGGAGTGTACAGCACAAACCCCAAGCTATCAACACCACACTTCAGGGGGTATGTACTAAACACAGTTGTAAGACAATTTATTCACAATATAAAGCAGAATAACTAATCTATAGATTATTCACCGCCTTTAATCGTGTGCATTTGGGTTACATTCCTGACTGCGCTGGAGAATAACAGGCCCACTCCAAAATTTTCTCACGTCAATTTTCTCAATAGTTGGGGACTGGTAAAAGGGGGAGCTGGCCTAAGGCCAATTTATGAAAGAACCGTAACAGCATATGCACATACACAATTTGTGTTATTGCAGATTTCCACATGCTGATTGAGAAACCATCGATTTTGAATGATTTAAAAAAAATATATCATCTTTGTTGATATTTGAATTATGGGTGAATGTCCTGATGTCAATAAAAAAAACACCGGAAAATGAAAACTGAACATCCATATTTAATTTTATAATTAGAAGAATAAATTGCAGAAGAATAAAGAGTAAGTCTGCAAGTACATTTATTTCCCAAATGGATGCTCGTTAAAGGCACCTGTGGCATGGTCTCAAACGCTGTTCCTGCTCTCAACAGGCAACAAAATCATAATGCTACTCTGCAAGACTTTATTAACACAAACAAAGCCCCAATTCCCTCCTTAGAGGAGGGAGAAAATATAAACATTCCAGGAGGGAAGTAAAACCTATCTGAAGTGTGTTTTTTATCACAGCTTGAAGAATGTTGACAAGAAGAGGAGTGTGTTTTCTATAATTGGATGTTTTGTTCTACGTCTCCCTCACTGTGATTATACTGACGTACAAAGGTTTGCCTCACCTGGAGTATCTGACAGCGGTCCGAGGTACAGTCAATGTTCTCGCAGGGCTGGTACATGCCAAGCGTCACACAGTTGAGCAAGATCACCATGATGCTAATCCTCTCGAACCATGTGCTGACAGAGCTGGAGTTAAGGAGCGTGGCAGGAGGGAAAGAGCAAAACACACTTCTGCAAGCAACACAAATGTGTACATGCAACAGTTGGCCCTAAAGGGTGGAATAGAAAGGGAAGGAGACACAAGTTAGAAAATTTGTGAATAGATCTGTGCAACTTTATATAATAATAAAGTATTACTTTTCTTCATTAAGTGGGAAAATAATGATTAACACAGTCGTATAAACACAAATCAACAGAACGTTTTGCAAAATAAAAGGACAAAAAAATAAAAATAAAAAATGCCATCAGAGCCAGTGGTTCAAACAAGGCTCTGCTCAGAGAGGGCTGCTGTGGATGGGCTAATGTTAGTCCCGGCTGTGGTTAGCCTCATAGGTCAGCTGGTTGCCATGGTCCTCTGAAAATCAGACTTCAAATTACGCACTAAATCAGTAAATGGGCCATATAGGGAGGCTTAAAAGGATAATTTTCTTGCCTCAACAGATGTTAAAATGTACTTTTATAGAATAATGGCAACAGAGAACTTTTAACTTAATACTATAAGCTCTGTGGGTGCTCCACTGGAACCTGCTTCTGCCGCAGTGCATGCTGGGTCAGCTGTCAGTCTGGATAACGCACATTTCTGCTTTGGCGCATGCTGGGTAAAGACAGAGGGGCGAGAACAACATCTGGGGACTTTGTCCGCTTCTCGATCATATGTTCTTATGAATTAGAACAGTGCTAGGGCTGAGGCTGATGACGTTTCATGCACAAGTACACATATTGAGAAATGGCCATTGAGTTACACACCATTAAAATTCTTTTAAAGAGTTGGAATACAAAGTAGTGGCTTATCTTTTTTTCCGGATTATTTTTTAAAACCTTAGGAAGATAAACTGCTTGAAAATTTGCAACTACCAAATATTACTTAACATTGTGCTTTATTTAAATTATATATAAAGCACAATGTCAATGAATATAAATAGAATAGAATATACTAGAAATAAGATGCTAAATATGAAAAACAGTATGAAAATTTGTCAATACTTAAAAAGAGCAGTGTTTCAGTTGTTAATGGATGTACAAAGTCAGTTATTGCTTATTATCATCTTATTCTTAATATTGTGTGAATCTGCATGCTCTACTCCCTAAAAGGTTGCTTCAGTGCCCTGTTCAACAGTAGCTGCAGATGAGCAACATGCAAATTCAGCAAAAGATTTCTGGAAGAGTCGACAGAAAATAATAAGGTTAACTTAATAAAATGAGATGTCCCCACATGATGCATACATTTATTTTGCATACATAAGCAAAGGACAGATGTGTATGAGACTTTATCGACATAATCCAGTTTAAAAGTCACAAAGGTTAAAGTCTTTATAATTCAAAGCCTCCAGCAATCGTCACCAAAAGCCATAGACACTGAGGATAGTATTTTTTACAGTGTTACAGATCCCACACTGGTGACCATCTGTAATGTCTGATTTGACAAAATATTATACTTGGATGATGTCAAGAAATATGTGTTTGCCCCAAAAAGTACATATTTTATTTGATGGAAACCAGTTTGATTATAATTGACCAGAAATATAATTTATTTTGTTTCGTTTAATACATAAAAATAACATCACACTGTAGCAAAACATGTTACTCAGCTAAGCTTACATTTTTACAGTGTAACATCTCTATGATCCTGCCTGTGTAAAGCCAACTTATCTTTTTACTTCATAGTATTTGGGAGAAAAGATAAAAAAAAAAAACCCTTAAGATTAAAAACACAGACATTTTCATTTCTTTCAGGTATTGAAAAACATATAAGGAAATACATAATGAGTATATTTCTACTCTTTATGCTCTCGCTGTTTTGCAAAAGACATTTTTTTTTTACAGGGATTTGATTTAAAACCATATAGGTGTACATTTATATGTCTGTATCTTGGTCCCTCAGTCCTCCCTTACTCTCTGTGCCGATTCAGCTCTCTTTTTGTCACTTCTCTGGATAATATGTTTAATAAATCGTCTATCTGCCTCCTCACGCATGTTTTCTCATTTTACAACCAATACCTCCTTTTTAAATAAGTGTCCTTAACTCCCTTCAGGTTAGATTTTTATTTTTTTCGGACTTCAATTTTCCCATCTCACAGCATCTCACCCTTTTCAATTCTCTACTTTCATCATGAGTTTTCCTATTCTTTCCAAGAAAAAAATACTCAGTTTTGTACCCATGGCAAAAGAAAAAAATCAAACTGCTTAGAATACAGTATACTGCAACTAGCAACAAAACATCAGTCACTGAAAATATGCATTTTTAAATAGATGCCAAAAGCATCGATTCACCACTACTGAAGAGGCTGCCCTAAGGCTTTATAATTTTAAGACCACAATAATGTGCTGATACAAAAAACACACTTATAATATGTGATATCCAGTGCCTCACAAATGTAATTATTCTTCTTGAAGTTCAACATTGGTCAACTTAAAAATATAATTTTCAATTTATTTCACATTAATTCTTTTCCAGTATGAAACTTAAGCTTAAAGTAACAATCAATGAGCAGATAACTTATTTTAAGAACTTCAGGTAGAGAATATAATTAATGCTTTCCCTCAGCTCTCTTTCATCATCTAAGTTATTTTCCTGAATGCTGTTTTAGTTTTGTTCCAGATCTAATGAGATTTATACCTTAGAAAACTGGGACATTACTTAATGTGGTTAAACCTAATTAGTCTCTCATTAATTTGTGCTGATCCTGGAAAAGAAAAAAAAGCTAACAAACAAAAAGGCAGCTGTTTTATTAGGGTATCATAAGTTTCATAGAAAACATTAGTTAACAAGCAGCCTACAAAAACTACATCAGACATGTCAATTATGCAACAGGAAAAGTTCAGGATATTATCCAAAAATGGAAAAGAGGTGTCTAGCTAACCTGCAGTCCTTGTAAAGAGAACATTAGATAGAGAAGGAAGGTCCATGGTAGCACTGACGAGATGCAGAAATCCACACATCAGCTATAGGCATGTATTAACATGGATAGGGATACTAACCAGAGTTGATAGGATAGATTGAGCTAAAGTCAAGAAAATACCTCAAAGTAAAGCTAGTGAGGCTGCATAGGCAAAAACCCTAAACATAGAGCCAGACAATGCTATGGGTCTATAATAAGAAAAATCAAATAGTGGATCTCTAGTAAGAAATAAAAGTTAATTTCAACGGATTATCTTCATTGAGTCTTATTATGTGTGGGTTATTTCCGAAAAAAGAATGAACAATAAAGCCTTTCAGTTGTAGCAAAAGATGGTTTTAGAATTCACAGCTTTTTGTATTTTAAGTAGTCCCAGTTATGTAACACATAAATAAACATCAAGAGGAGATGCCACTCCTAGAACAGTGAAAACAGGAAGCAGACAAATTGCCGGATTTATTAAACTTAGTTAAAAGAAATTCTGGGTCTTTAATAGAGAATTACTTTATGGTACATAGAAAAAAAAAAAAAAAGAATAATCACAAGAAATTGCAGCAAATTTGTATTTTCTGACCTGATTCCATCCCCTTACTATGGAATATTTAATAATCACCGTGTAACAATCTGTACTTGCCATGGTTACATTTACACTAGAATAGACACTAGATACACTAGACTGTAATATATATATATATATTTTTCTACATTTTGAAACACTATTTAGAATTTTCCATCTTTAGTATTTAACCAAGTACTTAGCAAGAGAACAGCACTTAGCACTAGCACTTTTACAGCAATAGGGCCATGTTTTTTGTTTTTTTTTTTGACAGTAGGCTGACAGGAAGGGGATATGAGAGAGGGGGAGAGACATGTGGCAAAGGACCACAAATCGGATTTGAACCTGGGTCGCCCACATCGGGGACTAAGGCCTCCTTACATGGGTCATGAGTGGTAACCATTGCGCTACCAGAGCACGATCTTGGAATATTATGGTTAAATAAAACAAATTTCCTAATTTTTTTATATATTATCTCCAAAGGGATGAAATGGAAACACATTGGTACAAAATGGGTGAACTGAATGGTAGCACTTAAATACAGTAAAAGTTGACTTAGGCCTGGAATGGTCTCAGCAATCATCCAGAATACAGGTTATTTTCAAGCAGATTGGGTAAAATGCACCCTTTTCCTCTCATCTTTTCCATGCTCCTTTCACACCTAAGTGCGCTCTCCAGTTCCACCTTATTAATTTCTACATTATCTACCCTGACATGCGTAGTGACTCAGCACTGGTTTGAGTTCACTTTCTTTGTCATAATGACCCCAGACCTTTCCAACCCCAGGGAATGAAACAGTAGGCAGCTGACTCACACCCAGCTGATTCCTCAGAAATGCAGCTGATGCACTGTCATGTCCCGAGCTTATTGTGCTGGCTTGGTACTCGCCAAGTCTGACATCAATGGTTTGCAAAGAAACATCTTTAGGGTTCAGTTATAAATTTGTTTGCCCTGTGTAAAGCTACTGCAATCATATTACAACCCACAAAGAACCTATCTATCTGAAACAGAGGATGTTATCTGTTATTTTCTGTCTTTAGCATGACATCTTCTCACCTCCCTTCATGCCACCTAATCTTCTTAGGACTCGGACAGGGCATCCTATCCGTCTTAGTTCCCTTCTCATCTATTCCTTTCTTCTCTTCTCCACGTCTCTACCTATTTCTTTGCCTGTCTCTCTCCGTCAGCACATATATTGTCAGACGCTTGCCCTTCTCCTTAAACCTTTTTTTTGTATGAAGCTTTCTGACCTTATCAAACTCACCATCTCGCTTTTTTGAAAAAACATTTCAAAAGCCTTGCTAGCTTTGATTTGTTTTGTTTATCTCATTGATGCAATCAATAGAATTTCCTTTTATTTCTTGGAGAACACAAGAAACATTTCACAAAAAAGGAATGATAGTTTGAATTTGAAAAGGTAAAAATATTGAGCTTTTGTCCAAATAAACAATTTATAACCTGAGTCAATTTCCTATGTTTTGTGTTATTCTGAGAATATAACT